CTTTCCAAAGGACGCCCAGTCTCATGCCAGTGCGCAGTAGCCTCACCGAGTAGCTGCCCAAAGTAATGCTGTTTATCCCGCCTAGCCAGGGCATGGGCCTGCGCGCCTAAGCGCTTGACGTCAGCTGAGTGAAGCTGGACCTGGAGCAGAAGAACATGGATGGCAATGCGGTGGTCAGCTCGGGCAACTACCCCTCTCCAAGCACAGAGGACGGCACGTCGGGTGGTGTGCTCTATGAAGCTCCTAAGACTCCGCACCTCAGCTCGAGCATCCCTGAGGTCTGCCAACACATCCGCAGCTTCATCGGAGATATACGGTTGCCGGCGGACAAAGGGAGGTCGAGGTGGGAGCGACGCAACGGCCTTGTTGTGGACCTCGAGAAAACCTTGCATCTGCTTACTGGGTCCTAAACCGGCACCTGGGCGCAGACGGCGCCAAACCTCACTACCTACCTCACAGGCCCGATCTGCAGAGTACCGGTGGTGTGATGTGTTCCGGCGGCTAGGGCGGCAGGGCACGGCAGCCTGACAGACCAGAGGCATATGGTCCCGTGCTTCCTTCGTGATGATGTCAAACTCAGGACACTGGGAATGTGAGGTGACATGGGTATCTTGGGAGAACAGAATGTGGTCGAGACGCTGGCGCTTGCCACTGGTATGTTGCCAAGTCCATGAGGGACCTCGGTGAATTTCGGGCCAAGTGCCAGCTGCGAGAAGACCGGCATCAGCAACAGTCTGCAGAAGGAAGTCATCCCCTAGCCTAGGAAGCCTATCGGCCTAGAGGGACCCGATTAAAGCCCCTTGTTCGTCCTCCGCGAGGAAATCGGCGTTGGCATCGATTCCGACGATCAACGGCCCGTCGCGTCGAACGACTCTGAGTTGCTCCTGTAACAACTGCCAAAACGACCGAATCTCCTCAGGGGGGCGTTCGGCATGTGGGGCGTGCGCTGAGATGAGGGTGAGAGGCATGTCCTCGCGGAGGCAGCGAATCACGAGAAGACGCGGTTGTGACAGGCAGATCCTCCACTGGTCCAGTTGCAAAGGCGGATCCGCGCAGCTCGGATCGACCCAAATCTCAACTCCGTAGCACCCCTTCGAGTGTCCTCCGCGCCAACTAAGGAACCCGTGGGAGGCCCACCTGCCCGCTCGGCTCCGACACTCCTGCAGAAAAGCAACATGAACACCGAGATCATGCAACTGCTTACTCAGGTAAATGCGGCGTTGTCCGTGCCCCGATTTATTGAAGAAGGACGGCTCCACATCACTCATCGTCTGCACATTGGCTTGGACAAACTTGAGAGATCGAGGGGCACACTCCGTGCAAACAGCAGGGGAGGAGGGCGCAATGTCATCGGCCGACACAATCGGCTCCAGCGCCTCTTCGGCAAGGGTCTGCGGTGGGCTCCAAGCAAGATAACCACCTTCAAGCTGGGCATTGGGGAGGAGCCATAGACACGGTCCGACTGTGGCAAGATCATTCGCGATTTGGGAGTCAAGACGTGCATGACCAACCGAGGCGGCCAACGGGTGGCAAGCCGCATATCCTGCGAGGAAATCGACCACCTCGTTGACAAGGAAACCCTGGTGTCCTGGAACATGGCGGAAATCGGTGGACATGCGAGATTGCACGGCCTGCCAGACCACGCGACACACTTGGGCCTGGGGGTGTGTCGCCGCGGCTCTCCCAGCCGCTGTGTTATCGACAGCGATAGTGATGCGCTTGGGCGCAGAGCGCGTGGAGACCTGCCGTCAGCCAAAGGGCTGCTGACGTGAGGGCCCCAAGCTCCCCAAAATAAGAGCGAAGGTCGGAAGTGGCGGAGGCAGAGGAAAGAAGCCATGGCGTCATGTGCACAGCACCGCCATCCCAGCCGAAACGGTACCACCTGTCATGCGAGAGGGCTGACACAGCGAATGACCAGCCTCCTTGCTCCTGACCGCTGCCATCAGTGGCAATTCAGACCTCGTCAGGTACGCCGGCCCCCCAGATCGGGAAGCGATGCCAAGCATGCCACCTATCCGTGGGGGCAAGGGATGGAAAGTCTGCTCGCAAGGAATGAGCGAGGTAATGAGCCGATAGGCGGGCATATACTTGTGCCGCCGGATCAAGATCCACACTAAGAGGGGTCCCTCCGCCACCCGGGGCTCCCCAGGCGAGAGGATAGACAAGACGGAGGGCGACCGAGATGCCACCAGCAGGCGGAACATAGGCTGTAGGGGAGGAGCCGCCCTGAGCGCCGCCATCACATAGCAGAAATATCAAACCTGCTAGAAAGATGCGTGGGAAAGTGTGGCCGCCCCGACCGGCACTGAGAGCCCAGGCCGCCACACTCAGGATAGACCCCGTAGAGCGCGGCCGGGCCTGGCTAACGTCTCCATCGCGGAGGTCCGGCGAGACTTCTTCACGGGAGCTGCGGACAGCCCGCGGCGGAACACCTGGAAGGAATTGGTTAACCCAAAGATTGCTGGCTCCGTCCAGGATCATATGTGCAGACCCAGTGGATCCTCGATGGCAGCTGCGACCCAACGTTCAGGGCTGAGAGCAGCCAAGGAGGGGCGGAAAGTACATCCCTCCGGGGACGGAAAGCAGAGAGGCCGAGGTTCATCAGGCCTCCAGGCGAAGATCATACCCGGATCTCTGATGCGGAAGGGGAGCCCCCAAAAGGCATCCCACGCAGCACTTGGTGGAGAGCAGTGGAGAATGACGGGCGGAGCCCGGAGCATGGGAATCCAACCCTGGGCCCTGACCTGGACGACATCTCCGTCTCGCAGATACAAAGTGGGAGCAGCTTGTTTCCGGGTGCCGCGCCAAGCAGCTGGAGTAACCTCGACTTGGGTCAAGGATGGGGTCTGAAGCCGCAGAGAACGCAGAAGGAGATGAGCCGAACAAACTCGGGGCAACAAGGCCGCCCGAGGCATCGGGGGCGCCACCAGCACGACAGAAGCATGTGAGGGGTCCGTGGAGCCCGGGATCCATTCCCAACCACCCCCGTAGACCGCGGGACGGACCCGGACCGGGCCACTCCAGGCGGGAAACTGAGTCACCAAAAAATGTGGGCAACGCGCATCGTGCGACCAAACAGGATCGTGCAGACCGCCGCCAGGCTGCCACAACCGGTGTGCAATGTCTGGGGAGTCAAGTCGAACTCCAAGGGAGGGGCCGACCCCAAAGAGCAGGCCAAGACCGAGGCGCCTAAGAGGTCGCCCACGCAGAGCAAGAAGGAGCTCAAGAAAGGCTAGGCGAGGCGCTCCGAAAAACAGAGAAACAGCCGCAGGCTCCTCGGAATCTGCACGGTACCCTCCAAAGCCGGCCGGCAAGCCAAGAAAGGGAGGTGCCTGGTGGGGCGGGCGGGCTAAAGGGGCAAAGAGGGCCTTCGGACATGCGCCATCAACAGTACCACCACACAGCGGAGCCGGATATTCCCACTGGGGAAGCGCAGAGGCTCCCAGTAGGCCAAAGACAAGGCTGAGACCGACAATTGGGCGACCCAAAATGAGCAAGGAGGCACTAATGGCAACCTCATCAAGCGAAATAGAGGGCGGGACGCCCGCCAACGGGTCCCAAACCCGCTCAGCAGTGCAGTCCACGACTAGAACATCGCCATCTCGCAGCCGAGTAGTGCCATCCGTAAGGCGGCCCAGAGGCATCAGGGCCGCCAAGGTGGGCAGTGACCAGAGGATACCTGACTGTCGACGCAAAATACGCCCCCTTGAGGATGACATGGGAAGGATGTCGCCGGACCGCAAACCAGAAGCGGGCTGAGCCTCCCAACTCAATCATAAAGGGCAAGGCCCAGGAAGCCGCGCTAAGGGCTGCTTGAGGGTCGCGGTGTTGGGGCCAACCGGTCGCCTCCCATTCCCAGCACCCGGGACCAGGGCAGAAGCCAATTGGTGCAATCTCCGTTACGGAGGAAGAGGGGCCGCCTCCGATCACTACTATAAATGCCAGGTGTAGTCGTCCATTGCGCTGTGCCCTGGCCAGTCTCCTGGCGGTGGGCGACGAAGCAAAGCTGGGGCAGAGTGGCAAACTGGGGGACCAGGACCGCATGCGAGACTCCTCGGCAATGAATAACAACCGAAGCAAAGGGAGAAGGACAGACTGGGAGCACAGTAAGGCAACCGCCGCGGCCGGAGCCGCGCACCGGAATGAAGGAATCAGTCCACCGACCACAATGGGAATGACTGGCAGCAACAATCTGGTCCCATCCAGACTCGACAGACACCCGATGGAAACCGCTGCGCCCAGTCACAGGGCACAGGGTACGTACTGCAAGCTCTCCTTGGTTGCCAGCAAAATCCCCAAGGCATCGCCCTGTCCCCGAGGGTGCAGGATGCCACAAATGCAAAGGCACGGCGGGGGACAGGACGGAGCGGCGGGCATCCTGTGGGAAGAAACTAAAGCCAGGCTGGGGACTCCTTGACCGGCTCCGTCGTCCGCGACCGATTCTTGAACGGATAGTGCAAGCCTCCGAGGAATCGGGACTCGGGGCGTCTGAGTCACTGGCATCACACGGCATGACCGCACCATGGAAACCATAAAGGATCCCCATACCTCCAAGCCAAAACCAGCTAGGCGACCGAACTCCAACCAAAAGACCGAGAAGCCCCCAGCCTATGGTGCTACTAGGAAACCCAAGACTAAATACCTCAACGACCACATCTCCATCGCGCAGGGTGGTGCCGTGTTGAAGCTCCTCATCGGGAACAGAGAGGACGCGAGGTTGGCCCTGAAGAGTGGGAAGGTCTGCCCGCAACTGCTGTCTGTCAGTGTTCATGTGGACGGCAGTGCAGAAACAGGCGGCAGGCGTCTCGACCACCACATGCACAAAGCGATCCGAAGAGGCAATCTGAATCAGATGAGGGCGGTCCTCCGCAATCCAGGGCCCAACTCCCGGGGTAGCGGTCTGAGAAGGCCCCTTCGAATGTGGCATCAAGGGCGCACCACCGGGAGCCTCTGGGAACAGTAGTGAGAAGCGGGCGGGTATCTGGCTGCCATATAACGGCATCAGACTTCGCGGCCAGGCAGAAGTCCAAGGACCAGATAGCGCAGTGCCGTAGCTGCTCAGCTCTAGTAAAGACCGGGGTTTGGAAAAGACCCGTAAAGGCATCGGGGGGAAGCACCACAATAAGGTCGCCAGTGCGCCATGTAATTTCATCCTGGCTATCTCCTGAGCTCTGGCCCAAGGCCGGGGGTATGCGGAGGGATAGGACGTCCAGAACGCGTGCCGTCCGGAGGGCACTCACAAGCCAGGCAACCGTGGCAACCCGCGGTATGCACAAGGCGAAATGCTCCAGGGGTGGCGCCCCAGGCCGGGTCCTGCTGGACCAAGGCCGCCGACCAGGCCGAGACAGAAAAGGACGCTGGCAGAGTAACAACTTGTCCGGGTCCCGAGAACGGGCTGAGGTAAACGTTTTCAACCGTGTCATGTGTGCTGAGAGGGACAAGGTCTGCTTCGGGGCTATCATCACGCCAAGGGAACCTACCGACACGGTAGGCGTTGAAAGAGAAGGCGAGTGGCTGCTGCATGGCGTCCGCACCAACCAGAAGGAGAACACCGAGAAGCAGGTGACGAGTGCAGGCCTGCGTCCAAAGGGCGGTCGCCAGGAGCAACAGAGGTAGGCGCCGCATCGAGGCAGAAGAGCAAGTGGCTGGGTCGCCAAAAACAACATCGCCATTACGAATCTCGACACCGGCGTCCAGGGAGGCCAAAGGCACGCCTCCAAGCACTAAGGAGTCGCGGCATAAGCCTGTGCATGTTGCGAGGGAAACGCGGCTAGCATGGCGTGGGATCGCCCGCACGCGCCGGCCAGCAGGGGAGGCAACGACAACATTGGCCTCGGCTGCCACCCCACTAATTAGCATGAGTTGTGGTACACTGGACGAAGACCATTGCACAGGGGTCCACATGCCCGGGTGCTGAAGGTGGAAATCGCCGGAGAAAGTACACTGCACAGGGGCCCATGTCTCGCCCGCTGGGATAGAGACAAAAGTAGGGCGGTGGCCCGGCTGGAGAAGGTCAGCAACAGTATCGCTATCCAACCTAAAGCCAACCGCCCAGGGGGCGTGTTGGCCCGTGCCGCTGGTTTGGATGTCCCAAGGTTCCTCAGCCTCTAGTGGGTCACGGCCCCGTTCCCGATCACGGAGGTAGATGACATCTCCGTTACGCAGGCGGTAGTCCGGTGGAGGGACGTCATAGAAGCGCCAGGCTTCAAGAGCATGCGGCAGAAAAATGTCCTCGACATCTGCGCTCACCTGCTGAGATGCAAAGGACTGGAGCCATGAGTCTGTGACTGTACGCGGCATCAGGACTGCACGGCCAAAACCTCTGTAGTGGAAGATCACCGTAACAGTGGAAATATCACCGCCGACTGGGATGAAGGCCAAGGCATTGAAGTGGAGACCTGGCCAGACGGGGAAGAAGTCCGTGGCCCAGGCAGCATCATCGTTCAGGAATTGCGCCCACACGGTGCTCTGATCTGTGTCCGGGGCAGCCCAATAAGCAGGAAAATTGCCAAGAAATGGACTGTAGTATAGCACCTGGACCTGTGCCTCGGTGTCGGGAAGACGAAAGACTCGTTCATGTGAAGGTGTCTGCCAGGGGAAACCTCCTGGCCTATGCATGGCAAGGGAGACCGCGATGCCAGCAGCCCACCACCAGGGCAGAAAACGTCTGCTAGTGAACACGATGCCACCTAGGAGACCCAACAGGGCAGGCAAGGGTCTGCCGCCACACGATATATCACCCGGAGTGGGGTGAGAGGAGACCTCCGCAGTTTCATGGTCCGCCTCCTCAAGCCTGGCATACTCAGATGCGGCAGTATGCTCACGCTCGGTATCAATGCGAAAGCAGTCACCCGAGCGAAAGGTAACGGTGTCCTGCACCACATCGATGTGTATTGCGGGAGGTCTAACCTTCCTTGCACACCTTCAAAGGTAATGCCGCGCAGGTCTCGCCATCTAGCGCGCCGCGGCACACAACACGGAACGACCCTGTTGTTAACCAGCAGAGCAATCGACACTAGGTGACCATGTTGCGGAAGGGCAATCAGGTGGACGGCGGCAGAGTCCGGCTGGGGATTCAGTAAAACAACCCCTCGCCAGCCTCGGTTATCGGCGTGCGCTTGAAGAACACCCAACGGCGGAATATGCTCCGGTTCCTGGTAACCGACCTCATGGCATTGCCCTCTGGCTGTGAAGGGGTTGTGAAAACGGAACGGCGTGCCCTGGGGGATCGGACCGTTAAGGAAAGCCGTAGCAGGAAGTAATCCATGCTGGTGCCTAATTAACCTATTCTGAACCCAACGGATGACCGTCGGGGCAGGGAAACGGCGGGTAACATGAACAGATCGCATGGAACCGGGCAGAAAGTTCAGATCCGGAGGCATGGTCTCATTATATACGAGCCGGGCATCAGCGGGATCAGGGTCATCTGCAGCACCAGCGGGCGTGGGAGGCGGAGGTCCGGCCGGCCTCAAATGCAAACCGTCCCCGGGACGATGGCCCTCAGGGACATCAGCAGGGTGCGCATCATCGTCTTCGGATCCACTGGCATCCGGGGTGAAATAAGAGCCAAAAACACCATCAAGTGAGGCAGCAACCCCCAAAAGACCAGCAAGGAAACGGGTCTCCGCACGCGCTCCGAGGAGGGACATGCCTAGGATGCCTAGGATGTGCGCGCTGTGAGGAGGGGGGTATCTCCGCTGAGCGGGCGAGGCATTAGGGCGGGTTGGGTCGGAGCTTGCCTCTTCTCCATGCGCCTTGGGCTCATTCTCGGCAGCATCGGTGTCCCCACCACTTGGGCGGACAGCAACGGTGTGTCAACGGACAGAAGAGCATCTGTTTGGCAGGCCACCTCGCGGCGTGTCGGCACTTCTGGCGCAACCTCGGGCAACGTCCCTTGGGCAGGGGAAATGGCTTCCTCCCCAGCAGGTCCCCTGGCAGGCACATACTGGAAAAAGCGTCCTGGGACGACCCATGGTGTTGGCTCCCAAGCATCATCACTGGACTCCATAGGGAGAGCACGTATGGGAATCTGCACTATGGAACCAGTAGGGACATCGGTCAGGTGGCAGCTAGGAGCGACAAGTTGGGAGCCAATGACCAAAGTCGGGCGTGATCGGGGGACATTAAGACCCTGATATATCTCTTGCAGGTGCGTGGCTGCAATGTCCCAGTCAAAAGGGTAGTGACCATACACCACACTTGCCCGGTCTTCCACATGGAAGAGCCAGAACCGCGGCTGTCCCGCAGTGGGGCCGTGAAGCCGCGGTACAAAGAGGAGATGCATGATAGAGTCACCTGCGACACCTGTGGTAGACAAGAATTGGCCGGCTCCCCGCACACCATGTATGCTACAAATAAAATCATGCAGCCAGCGGGTGCTGTATCCTTCAGGCTTCCAGGGTAGATCAACCGGACGTTTGACCCCAACTGTCCATACCCTCAAGGTATGGGGCCTTGGGTTAGCAGGGGCGGCCGTCGCGGCGAGGGACACATTGGACTCTGCCGTCGGGACGACAGCCCCAGCTCCAAGAACTCCGAGCATGAGAGCAGCAAGTCCGAAAGAGGCAGCTAGACCACGACGGACCCCAGCGACAGCAGCAAAACCTAAGAAGGCTTGACACAGTGATCCGTGCAGTGCCGGCAGGTCCCGAATGACCCTACCCCGAGCTCCCTGAGGAAGCAGGGGCTGCTGCTGAACGCCATAGGCAGGGCAGACAGTCTGAGCAACACGGTCCGGGCTGACTGTAAGAAGTCGGAAGTGGACAGCAGAAGTGTGATGCCTGGTAACGGGCCTGAGGATTTCACGCCCAGTGCTGTCCTGCAGGATCCACCACGTGCCACCCGTCGGGGGTACCAGTACAAGATCAAGAACATGTGGGCTGGTGTCAAAGGCTATGTGGAGGCTGTCAATGCCCTCTGCGTAGCCCAGAGCTCGGAGGAAACTAGCCAAGTGCAGGGCCAAGCGACGGGGGCGGACCTGAAGCAGGGTGGGGCCGCGACCAGGTCTCCACAAGTTCAGGAGGACTTCTGGAGCCGGTGCAATGCGTTGAAGGTGTTCACCCAATATCTGAGCCCGGACGGAGAAACCGAGTGCTTGCCGACTCAGCTCATGAGTCCAGGACATGGTACATGTCCGTGTGAGGTCCATGTAGTCACGGAAAGGCAAGGGGTCAGGTGCAGGGTCCGCAGCTGCATCAGCAATAATATCGTCAAGCCTGACACCGGAGACGCCAGGAGACAGAAGAAGCACGCTAAAGCCAAGACACAGGCGCCAAATGCTGAGGCAAAAACCAGCGAAGACGCCGAGAAAGCCCGGAGGAAGCATTGCGGCAGAACTGCGGGCCGTCTGCAGGCTCTGGCGTCGATTCTGTGTTATTTGGTGTAGGCAGTTGACAGCCTCCGGCGTATCATGAGAAACACTAAGGCACTTGTCACTAGCATGGTGCAGTGGTTCGGGATACGGCACCAAGAGACCATCACCATGCACGAAGGTCTGAGGGAGCTCCCACGTCGATATGTGCAGAGCTTGAGAGACAAGATCCCACGTTATGTCAACCGTGCAGAGGCCAATCAGCCGGTTACCATCCCGAAGAACCCAGGCCTTATATCCCGGTATACAAGGAATTAGATACTTAATATGCCAGGCATCGCACCACACGTCAGCAAGAGTCGAGGAAACCTCAGGAAATAATCCTGGCTCGCAATGGGTGGGCTGCGGGGGAGTTTGCCACACAGCCATCTCATGCGGGAAACCACCCGGCCCTGCTATCGTCTGTGTAGCCTTAGTGGTCTGTGGCACTGGACGACCTGGGGCCGGATGCAGTTCCACCTGAGTAAACGAGGCTGGGACCGCTCGAACATGCGCAAAATGAAGTTGTGCACGTAGGATATCGGCGTGGAGCTGAACATACCAAAAGGACGCACCTGCAGACCGGGTCAGCTCCATAGATTCCCAAGCGGTGACCCTCAGTCCATAGGGCCGAAGCGCCCTAAGCCATCGAGCCTCCGCGGTCTGCAGCTGTCCTAGACGCCTGGCGAAATCAGCATAGGTATCGAAAGCGCCCGAAAACAGAAAGAAGAAGCCAGTGTCAGAAGGGTCTGAAGCTTCTGAAACCCTAAATACCACATGATCGTTGCCCTGGCGGCAGTGCACGAAAAGCCGGAGCGGGAGACTCGCCCGAGAGGGGAGCTCAAGGAATGTACCTCCTGGCCCTTCGTCGGGTGGAAGTAGTGCCCGTAGCATGGACACCTGGACATCGGACCCGACGGCGACCTGGAAACCTTGCACACCTCGCGAGAAGGATAGAAGGTAGAACGACTGCACAGGGTCCAACCACACTGCAGCCGATTCCGCGGGCCGAGCCAAAACATGTCGCGACAGATCAACCTGCACCTGATCAGCATCCAGCCGGACAGGAAGGACATCACCATGCCGCAAAAGAAGCGAAATTTCGGTGTTCAGCTGCAAGGCATCGGTGGTAGCAAGATCGCAAGCTACAGTCAACAAGTGAGGTGCCGGTGCGTGCCTCGGGACGTCAGCACACCAGACCTCGAAGCCAGCGTCAAACAGAACGGTGGCAGTGGCCGAGGCGGTCGAAGCCATGACCAGGTGTACTTGAGTGATCGACAATCCCAAAGAGGCAGCAAAGACACGGGGCCGGCCGGACAGACCTGCGACACGCCGAATTTCATTGCGAACTTCCCTGGCCGGCTGAATCCCCAGGAAGTCGAGTACATGCGACTCGTCAGGACCCCAGAGCCTAAAGCTAAACCGTAAGTTTTGGGAACCGCTACTAGGAACCGGCCACAAGGCACCTGCCACATCCAAGGAACTGTGCTGCCAATGAGTCTGCAACCTCTGATGTGCTGAGGGAGGGGCTAGCCGAGCTGCATCAAGGGCTGGTTTCGGCGACTCGATGACAAAGCGTGGAGACCGGGGTTCACTTTGTGTTGTCATGGCCTGGGCCAGCTGGCCTAAACACAGCAACGGCCCTAGTTTGGAAGAGAGACTGGCCGCCAAAATCGCACATCCAAGGGGGCTCCAGGGCTGGACCAGGCTAGCAACAGACACATCGGGGGGGGCGCCGGCGCCATCTGGCCTGCCCTCAAAGGAGGCGTCGACTAGAACATCATAAGGCGAGGCAGTCCAGGCATGGCCCTCGTCAGAAGGACCTGGATCCTCCACGGAGGAAGCTGCCAGATGGCCAATCGACCCAACCTGACCTGGCAGCGGAGGGGGTGTGTTCTGTTCGGGCAGTTTTGTCCCACGCCTCTCGGCCTCCAATGGCCTGACCCGAGCTATCGTCATCATGCGTGAAGATATGAGGGAAAAACATCAAGACAAATGGAGCGCCGCCTAGAAGAGGCTGGGTGGCCGCGACCGCAGTTTCCTTATGCAAAATGCCGAAACCGCCACACTCGGATGGCAAGTCAAGGCCATCATCCACTGCAGACTCCAAGGCGCGAACCGGAGTGACAGGAGGTTCCACGCACGTGGTGACAATGCGCCATCCGGTGGGGCGGAAGTCCAGAACACATGGCACCGTCGTGCCGGTACAGTGGACTTCCAAGAGCTGCACGTGGGGCAATGAAGGGAGGGGCTGCCACAAACGCATGATACCTCCAGCAGCTGACGGTGACGCCTGAAGAGTCACAAGCCGCCTGTAAGTGTTGGAGTCAGCAAACACCGGCACCTCGACGTAGACAAGCCCGTTAGGTGTGATTAGCACCGCGTGATTGGCAGAGAAGCCCGAGAAGAGTTCCAGCGGCGGCCCCGCCTGAACTGCGCTAACTTGCATCAAGGTATCCAGGGTGAAGGGAGGCTCCAAGGAGGTGCCAAAGAGCGGCTGCACTTGACCAGGCTCGGGCCCGTAAGCAAACTGAAGAGCATCAACACTCGGGAGTATCAGGGGCTGGGACCCTAAGGAAAACCATCCGAGACAGCACCGTCCCAGGACGCCATGCAGAGCCCTGAACCTACCCTGAAGTTCTAAAGCATTAGCCAGAAGCTGCCCACAGGTGTCTGAACGTTCGCCGCGCACGTCGATCGGCAGAAGAACGGCATTCCACCCTAGGTCCGGAGGGGCGAACAGCAACTGCTCAGCAGGGAGCCCTGGTAGCGGGCTCTGAAGTTGGGCAACTCGAGGGTGAGCATCATCAACCCCCAAGTTAAGCAAGATCCGGCGGTGCAGAGCTTGTCCATGTAGCCGCTCATCAGCTAGCATGTTAATAGGACAAGGCAGGAGAGGGGGTTCTTCGGCAGCTCTTCCGAAGAAGACCGCTAGCTGGCGTCGTGGCCGGGAACTGGAAGGCAGTAGCAGATTGCATGACCGACCGAGGGGCACCACCTCACGCAAATCAGCTTCAGACTGCGCCGAGGGAATGGTTCCAGTGCTAAAGACGGGTCGCCCTTCATGGAAGCCGTGAGCAATCAACTGAACTCCACGAGCTGTTGGAAAGGAGGTGACCAAAAGATTCCCTCCCAGAATCGACACCATATGCAAGGCCGAGGCATCAACGCAACACAGATAAAGGAGCAGGCCGGTTTTCCATGGGGAGGAGGAATGGGGAGGTCGTCGGAGGCGGCCTCTGCTATATGTGCGAGGAGCTTGCCTGTAACAAGACCGCCGGTTCAGCCACGACCCCGTCTGCGTCCGTTGCCCCGCTGGGCCCGAGACCCTGGACAGTAACGGGGAATGCCGTGCCTCGCTGCCGTGGAGCACAAGCAACGAAAAAGGCACCGAGCTCACAGCAGCAGGCAGCGCTGCAGACAAGGTGGAATTGGCAGTGGACACAGGTGCAAAGCCAGAGACCTGCAGCGGCAAGGCGGAGGATGAGGACAACGACCTGCCGACGACACCAAAAGTCTGATGCTTCACGGAAAAGAGCTGTACAAAGACTACAGATCCTGTACAGCACGATCAGACTAAGGCTCAGAAAAGGCCATAGCAGTGATTCATGAAGGTGCCACACGACAACCTCATGAGTGTTCACTGCTACAGGCGACACAACGTGTCCAGTGAAGCCGCTGGTGGCAGCGGGCTTTTTGCTCCGGCTCGTCTGGGACCCGATGTAGGGGACACGGCATCGTCGCCAACACCCGGAGAGCCACAGAATTCCATGTACCACGGATATGACCTGTCAGAGGGAGGCCCCGGGCCAAGACTTCCGCTGGAAAAAGCCATTCCTGGGCGGTCGACGGGCCGAAGTCGTCGATGCTGTAAAGATGGCCCATCACAGCGTGCGCCAAGATGAGCAGACCTTGGCGCACTTGAGGGAGTGCCAAGGGCCGCTCTCTGCAGGCTACGAGCAGCCTCTGCACATGCTCTACCAAAAGTAGAATATCGGCTTCCTCTTCGAGCCGCCCAGGCAGCCTCGCCCTCGGCAATCACTGGAGCTGGGTCGGCAGTAAGCCCCTGCAGGGGTCGAGCCTGTTCCTGTGCCTCCGAAGATCCGAGTAGACCGACATAGTCTCCACCCTGCTCCCAACATTGTCTGGAAATTTGACACCATGCCGTAGTCCAGGTGAAGGGAGGTGAAGGGACTGCCGGAATTAACTCCTCTTCTTCGCTGGGGCCCACCCAGCGGTCTGGGCGCTCCGGAGTAAGCCCTGTCGTAACACGAGTCCAGGGCTCGGCAGCGAGATCCATCTCCCGGCGAGGACTCTTGGAAGGTCGAGGATAGCGGTTGCCACGTTGATTCCAGCGTCGCTTGGATGTAGAATCTGTGGCTGATGTGTCCATCCCTTCTCCAGAGGGCTGTGGCCGTGTCGGTGTAGACGTCGCGGAGCCTGTGCTAGAAGATAGTGTCTCCAGAACGGAAGGACCAGGCAGCCCGCTCCCGTCCAGGGGATACTGGCCTGGCATCTGGGCAGCAAATATCGGGGCACTCACCGAGAGTTTCTCCACTGCCTACTGCGCTGAATGCACGTAGGCTGGCTGCGATGCGAAGCACTTCGGATTCCTGTGCCTGGCTCCAGACGGGCCCCATACCACCCAAAGCCTTGTCCACCTGCTCTTGCGCACTTGCCTCTAGATGTACCGAGGCTTGTTGCAGCGCGGTGATAGCCTCGGCCTGATCTTGGTCCAACCGGGCAGCAACTGTGCTCAGCCGGGAGGTCAAAGCTGCAAGGTGTTGACCGATCTTTCCCAGCCAAGCCGTCGCTGCCTCCTGCAAGCTGAGTTTGGCACGCAGGTTGCCGTTGAGGCGCTTCCCCAACTTGTCCAGTGTATTGGCTTGTGACTGTGCAAGCTGTTGCACAGACTGATCCGCTGCTATTGCCACTGGGTCCCTGAAAAGACCGGCGGTGGAGCGAGACGCGATGGCTTGAAGAGCTGTGACTAACTGGGGCGGATAACCAAAATGCAGGGCTTCCTTCTGTGACTCTTCCGTAGTCGCGGAGCCCTTCCCCTTGCCTTTTTGTGGATTGTCGCGTTGACGAGGAGGCATACTTCCGTGGTGGCGGCGGAGAAGGTTCACCTCCCAAGGAACCAGCCGACGACTGACTTCGAGAGGCCTTGCGAATCCTTGCACGCAAGCGTCGGCACCTCCGGTGCCACGGAGGAGATCGCGGCCTGGTAGTCGTCGCTTGAACCAAGCCACAATAGATGATATAGACCAGTTAAAAAGCAAGCAGATCAGGGGCTTCCAGGCTCCAGATCGGCGCATAAACAAATAACCAACCAGCTCGATTTTCCCGACGGCACAAGGCAGCGTAGGGAAAAGAGCACTTGAATGGTATAAGACCACTACACCCAGTAGGGGAGCAGAGGCACTGGTCAAGCTAATGACAGCAGTGCGAGGGAAAGTAGCCCAGCTGTGAATCCCAAGGCCACTGGCCAATCAAATGGCAGCAGTGGAAACAGGCCCAGAATATGGGCGGCCCCCTTGACCGCCACCGAAATGGCTGGGGTCAGGTATATGCGGATGAGCTAAAACACCAAGGGTGAACAAGCACAAACTCACACTCGAGCCGTGACGCCTTGAGCCAAAATGGCTACGGAGAACCCCTTAACCCCAAATCCTAAACCCTAAACCCTAAACCCCTAACCCCTTTGCCTATGAGGCCGGGGAAGTCTTGACTTGTGACTTCTGGCAGCCCAGCAAGGGGAAGTATGAAGGCAAATTGTTGGGCCTCGTTGGCAACCACTCTTACGGGATCCTGGGCTCGGGTTTAAGGGGGTTTAGGGTTTAGGGTTAAGGGGTTTAGGGGGTTTAGGGTTTAGGGTTTAGGGTTTAGGGGTTTAGGGTTTAGGGTTTTTGGGGTTTAGGGGTTTAGGGGTTTAGGGTTTAGGGTTTAGGCACCACTGTTACGGGATCCTGGGTTCTTGTTTAAAAGGTTTTTTTAAATTTAAGTTACCATAAGAGGGATCTGTAGCAAGCAATAGGGTTTCCGTCTGATGGTAGCTTACATGAAATCCCCGAACAAGAACCCAGGATCCTCGAGGTGAAGGAAGCGCATGGACACCAGATGCTGTGCCTCAGAAACCCGCATGGACATGGTGAGTGGAAGGGCCCGTGGTCTGACGGCTCGGAGGAGTGGACCGAGGAGTTGCGGGAGGCCTTTGGGGTAGTCAACCGGGACCAGGGGCTATTCTGGATGGCCGTTGAGGACTTCCTCCAGTTCGCCGACGAGGTCTACTTCAATCGTAGCTTCGGGCCGGCTTGGAAGACCGCCTCAGTGTACGGACACGCTGACAAGGAAATCCCAAGAGCACGGGCCAAGTATTGTCATCAAGCACGTGACAAACAAGAGCTCAGCTACAAGAAAGGTGATGAGATCGAGTCGGAAGACGCCCGGGGCCGCTGGATGAAAGGCAAGCACCTCAAGAGCGGTGAGGTGGGCAAGTTCAAGCGTAAGTATGTGGACTTCCAGTGTAAGGTCGTGTACAAGTTCGTGTTTTCGGTCCAGGATGTGGAGGAGGGTTCGCCAATCTTCTTGGCATTGATGCGGGAGGATCACAAGCAATATCGCGAGTACAAGACATGGGGGGACAAGGAGCTGAGCGAGATTATCAGCGACTGTCCAACTTGCTTCTTCTACGTCCAATCTTGGGCAGGCAAGTCGCTCCACAGTCGTGAGGAGAACAATCGCCTATCTTGGACGTCCGTGGAAGTGAAAGAGTGCCCGTGCACCTTGTGGCTGACGTGTCCGGGTGGTCATGGTGAGACATGGACTCTGCGTGGGTTTGTGCCCCACGGATCCTGCAGCATCGTCAAGCAGGATTGCACCTATGCTGACTTCCTGGATGAAACTAAGCACATTTTCTGACTTCCTGGATGCAGCTGAGTAGAGCTTCTCACACCCTATCAGACCCTAAATATGCAGAGCAGCCTGCTCTTGTACAGAGCGTTGGCCGCCTTTGGTGTTGATGTGTGTATGTCTGTGCTTGTGAGTTTTGCCCGTCCTTGACTTGGCAGACGACCGAGGGTATGTGTATATTATATATATATATGTGTTTGTGTGTGTGTGTGTGTTGATTTGTATATATATATATACATATATATATATACATACACATACATATACACATACATCGCAATTGTAATATTCATGCCTGTTTCGACTCCAACTGAAGCGAATTCGTTTCAATGACTCGACCACCACGGACTCTCTGAAGGAGATGCCAAAAGTATTCATGAGCCTGCAGATGTTGCCCGCATGCACTCTTCCCCCAGTCCGCAAGCCCTCATGTGAGCGAGCGAGAGCTGCGCATGAGGTAGAGATCGTTCAAGAGGAGTGCGATGTGCCAGCTGCTCCTTGGCATTTGCCAAGAGGCTGGAGCAGTGGCTGCTTACCATGTCAATGGACATTTCAAGCTGCTGAAACGGCAGCAAATCGTGCTGTCCTCAGACCCAGAAGTGCAGTTGTGCGCCTTGGACTTGCCAGCAGTTGAACCCAGGTCGACCACCGATGCCCGATTCAGACAAGATGCCTCTGCTGCGACTGGATCTGGCCTGGCGAAAGAATGAGATCTCCTTTCTGGCAACTCTTGGAGAGGTCCCGTTGGGGTTCTGCGCTGAATCCTAGTGCCTACGGGCATCTGGGCAGGCTTTTGTCAATGATATCGTCTATGATTCATGTTTTGTCATGTCATTGGCTGCGCTGAATCCTGGAGCTTGCGGGCATCTGGGTAGGCGTCTGTTAATGACATACCGCAATGTCCTTTAATGTCTTTGTCTCTATCGTTGGCTGCGCCGAATCCTGGAGCCTATGGGCATCTGGGCAGGCGTTTGTCAATGACATTGTCTATGATTCATGTTTTGTCATGTCATTGGCTACGCTGAATCCTGGAATCCTGGAGCTTGCGGGCATCTGGGCAGGCGTCTGTTAGTGACATTGTCTGCTTTTTCTCGTCGTGCCCTGTTCTTGGCTCACTAGGGGCAGGCGTTTGTCCATGACAGCGTTTTTTCCTCTCGTGCGTTTCCTTGTCATTGACAGCGCTGAATCCTGGAGCTTGCAGGTGTCAGTGCTTTCATTTCTTCTCCTGCTCGAGTGTCATGACGTTCAATAGGTTTATGGGCGCAAGGTTGTGTGCAGCCCAGCTCGTCGCTTCAAGATTCTTGGCAGCTGGGGCCCAAGTAGTTGTCATGTCGTGGCATGGCAGTTTTGCTGGGCTGGTGCCGGGTAGGAACACCTCCATTGATTTTGCAGCCTTTGGAAGGTCTCCGTATGAAGCGAGCTGTTTCGATTTCTTTTCAGGGGTTGCGGATGTGGCAAGCTTGAGACTTAGACTTTGTTGAAGCTGGAAACTCTAATAGACCCTAAACCCTAAACCCCTAAACCCCTAAACCCTAAACCCTAAACCCTAAACCCTAACCGTAATAGACTTAAACCCCAAGCTGTACAGCCTGAAGCCCGGAACCCAAAACCAAGAATCTCCAAAGGCGCTAATCGCCCTGGTGTTGTAAATCCTGAAACCGCAAGCCCCCAGCCGTGAGAATGTCCGGAGGAGCGCTAAGCCACGGAGCCCTAGCTCCCGACACTTCGAAAAACCTGAAAGCTTTAGTCTAATCGAGAACATCTCATGCAGCTGGCCGGGCTTTATAGCTCCACCCCGTCACCCCATGTCGTCGCACAACTTCTACAAGAAGGCGCAAGAGGATCCGGACTCGACCGCCGTCGCCCGGCGACACTTCTCGTCGGACGCCGATGCCGTAGCGCAAGGCTTTACTTGCTGGGCACCCGCCAGAAATGGCCCGCAATGATATATTCCTGGATGCCAAAACTCAAAGCCAAAACTCAAACAAAACGCACATTCCAAAACATATTGCACTGTGAATTTCTCGTTCTCAACTTGGATCCGTGAGCAAACGTGGATCTCTCTCCGTGCACACAGAGCTATGATCAGCCGTTTTTTTCTCTGTCTCTTGACGGTAGTTGGACACAAAAACTTCCACTCGATTTGGAAATCTCTCTGGAACTGTGCACGCGGAAGGACCCTGAAGGGTCCGCCTCGTGCTTCGCTTCCGTCGAATGCCCCGCTGTCTGACACACTCTGCGATAGCAAGGTCGTGTCTAGTGTGCTGCTTCAACAGTCGCAGGAAAGATCGCCCCGTTTGATGTAGTCGAACCTGATTCTCTCCCGAATTGATCACCGTTGGACATGCCCTAAGTTGGATAGCCATCGGCTTCAAAGACGGAGCACCTTTCGTCTCCACTTCGGAAGACTTGCCCGGGTGCGTTCCGTAAATCGCTGAGTTCGAGGCTCGACACCCACAGGGACCACCGAAGCGCAATGGTGCAATGAATTGTTTCGCCAACAAAAACTTCAAGGTGTGTGAAAGGGGGTTGGGATTGAATGGTCAAGGTGGGGCGGGGGGGGGGGGGCGAGCACTGGTCTGTAAGTATGCCACAGCGCTGCGGGCACGGGGTCAGCTAGTGCATGGGCCACTTGCCGCAATTGCACAGGAAGAGGCACCACCAGGCAGGATGGCCATGCCTCCGCGGGCCCTCTGTGTCAAGTGTGGGAGCGAAAGTGGCGTCAACCTGGAGAAATGCATGTTTTGCCCCCGGTGTTGTTCGGACAGCTGCTGCTCTGTACGATCACACCGGAAACGCCAGCAGCCCCAGCTTCCGGCAGCCAGCCATGCCGGCAAGCGGCCGCGGTAAGCCTGCTCGCGCCCGCACTCATAGTAGGTCTATGATTCTGTAATTCTAGACATCCTTGAACATTCGTGCACAGTTGTTGTCCTGTCGATGCGGACAGCCTTGCGGTAGCCCATGCTTCACTTGAAGGCGTTGTGTGCTTCATGCAAGTATCGGCCACCGAGCGCGGACAAGTGCATCGATGTGTCGTTACGCGCGTGGCAATTTAGACTTCCCTCCTGAGCTAGGTCTTTCGACAGCTGGTCTGCTCAACAGCTGCGTGTGCCGCTTCTCTGCGAAGTGGAGCCGCACGCTTATGGTGTTTCGTTCTGCCCACCCGCACCCAAGCTGTCAGCGAGCCTGTCCGCTTGAGAAATGACGGTGTTTGACCGATTCTTCGCATCGCCGCCTGGCGAGGAGCACTTCAAACAGTCCTGCACAAGCGCCTTGGTGTGCGATTCTCTGTGATGTCCTTTGTGTGTCTGACCTCGCACCATCCGCAGGATTGTACTTCACCATGGAAAAGGCTATCGAGCTCATGCAGAAGCTGTACAAGGCTCCAGTCTGCATTTCAGGTTGTGGACTGACGCCCTCAGTTGGAAGGAGCCCATCAACACAGCGGATGACAGCTCCGCACTGGGCTTGCGACTCGGAGCCTTTCGTCGAAGGCGCGCGGTCGTCGCCTTGGGCTTGTGCTGCGCGAGGTCTGGTCCATGTGACGACTTAACATGAGTGATGTGAGCGTCCGCCGACAGTTTCGGACTCAGTTTCGTCTGTCGCTTTCGTTTTGGACGAGCCGAGCGTGAAGAACTATTCCAAGAAGCATACGCACAGGAGCGGTGTGGGCGAGCGTAGAATCGCGAAGGCTTGCGTAATGAGTCTTTTAGATTTGTTTTGATTGTTTGAAGTGCATGAAGAATTCCGGTTGGATTCTGGCAGTTGGCTCAAAACAAATTGGGTACTTATGACGCAGAGCCCCGAGTTTGCAAGCTCATCGCAAGGCAATGATCGCCTCGCTTATAGACGACTACGGCTACAGTTTAACAAGGCTGTCCCAGATATTCTGACGTGTCCTGAAAGATGGATCTTCCTGACAGGCAAGATGGCAAAGGACTCAAGCATGGAGTTTGGTGGAGGCCGTGTTCCGGTTCAGTTCGTGTTCGAATGTTCTCCAATCCACAAGGCCTCCGCATGCACTCGATTCCCTGAGCCAGGATCTGTGGGGAGTTTTTTCCTATTGCTGCCCAGCTTCTTCCGAGAACGAGCCTGACGAGCTCCATTTCCGAGGCGGGCACTCGTCAGAGAGGAGTGTGATGGATTTTGCAGGCAGGTTGAATCCCGACTGCACCCTATTCCCGTGCTTTTGACGGCCAAGGGAAAGGAATGCAAACTCTTTGCCTGAGCCTCGCTTGACGTGTCGAGTGCGAGGGTCAAAAAACTATTTACGGCTAACACTTTCACAAGTCTTTGTTGCAGGCGAAGTGAGCTTTTTCAATAGCTGACCTGCGGCAGAGACCTTGACATCGTAGAATGCCTCGATGTTCGAGCTTCTTGTGGACAGGTTGGCTCGGAGATGGATCTGGTCTTCGCAGCAACAACTACTACTCCTACTCCTACGCCATGACGGTCATTGCCCATTTGTGCACTATGGCTACTGCGATGTTGGTGATACTGATGATGTTTTCACGATGATGATGAACACTGAGGATGTCTTTACGATGATGATGATGATGATGCTGCTGCTTCTTCGAACCGTCTTGGCATACCCTGTAGATGTCCATGTGCTCTTACCTCTTTCATCTTTCATCATCTTTCCTTCCTGTTTCTGTGAGTGAATTGGGGGGTTCCAAACTGAAGGAGGGGGGGAGGGCTAAATTAGTCTTACGGTCCCGATGCAGCCATTTCTGTGGATTGTAGTGTCTCATGACACTTTACCAGTGCCTGGCAGCCAAGCCAACTGCTACATGCCTAAACCATTGTCAGGCCACCAACAATCACCAATGAAGTGCGGGCATCTGCCGACCCTCACCCACCGAGCTGGCGTGTGGCAGGCCTTTTCCCAGGAGTTCACAAACGCCGTCCGGAACAGCGATCGCAACTTTGCCACAATCACGCCCGGCACTACTGCCAGACACGCATGGATGCTTCGACATGGCTCATGGCTGCTTTGCGTTGAGCACACAACTGCAGTGCCCAGGTTCCCAAGCGAAAGCAAGTCATCATGTGTTTTCCCACAGGCTTTGTCGCGTTTGAAGCGCCTCCTGCAACCTTGTCCCGGTTTTCGTGCTTATGCATCGTGCTCTAATGTTGAAGCATTGGGCGGTGCCCCAAACACGTGTCTAGGTCCATTCCAAACTTTGGAAACGCTGCGCCATTGAACGTGACTTTCCATCTCTAACAGCATGAGTTTCCACGTTGTTCGTGGCTTTCAAAGCATGGGTTTCCACATGGGTCGTGGCTCTCAAAGCAGGAGTTTCCACATGGTTCGTGGCTTTCAGCGGACGAGATTCATGTCACTTCGGCTGCTGTAACACCAGGCAGACGGGGATGAGGAGTTCTTCCCGCACGTCTCCCTGTCTTTCACGTGCCACAGGCTAGCTTGGCAGGCTAGCTTGCACCGAGAAAAGCCGGGTCTCAGCGAGTTTCGCTTGTGGTCAGGATCCTGTCTGAGCTGCCCAGGGCAGCAGCAACCTTCCTGAAGGCTCTGGAATCAAGTCGCGTCTTCTTCCGCTCGCTTTTGCTGAATGCTGCGCTGCGGGTGTGTCGCGACCAGGGACCATCAACGTGGAAACTAAGGCCCGCTTGTGCGGAAACTAAGATCCTTTCACTGTCGTAACTTTGCTCTCGACGCAGGGCCTCGATTTTCCTTTGAATGCGGGCGCCTTTGTATTGTTTCCTTCGTGTACCGGAGCCTGGTCAAGGCATCCTGCTTGGAGGCGGAAATGCCTTTCAAGGGGGAGGGTGCACAGGCCTTTTCTTTCGCCCCCGCAACGTCAAAGGATGCCGAGGCCCTGACTTTTCGTTGGAAAGCGGTCTAAGTCCCAAAGCGGCCTCCGACAAAGGTCCCGACAAAGATCGTCCGCGAGTCGATGAATTGGATCAGGTGGCAAAACAGCCAGCAGCTCAGCAGCTCTGAAATGACGGTGTTTTGACTGCAGCTCTGTCAAGTTTCGGCGAGTGCGCGGCCTTGCTCGGACCCCTTCGGGGAGCCATGCAGGGCTGCACCCCGACACTCTCTGACAGAAACAGTCAAAACACTTTGCTTGTTGTTTAGTGTCATCAGCTGCAGAACTTCTGATACCTGACTTGTCACAAACACTTTGAGTGCTTTTTACGTATCATGCCAACTTTGTTTCACTGGCAGCTTGACTGCCGAAGACCTGCTTCGTGCAACGCCCAGCAAAAGGCCGACTAGTCTTTGGGAAGTTTATGACTTGTCTGCTTTCAGAGTAGCTAAGCTAACGGAAACAAAATTCTGATTCGTTCTCCAGCATTGCTTTGCTTTGCCTTTGCTATTGCTCTGTTTGCTGGGTATACGATTGGTTGCGCCCTGCTTAGGGACCGAGAGTTAAATGGATTCCTCTGCTTTTCACAGGTTATCAGCCGTGGGACCTCTTGCTTCCGATTGTGTGTCTTTGCTCGCTGCTGCCGCCCTTCGTCGTCTATCCGACAAGCTAGCTTCTGAAACACAACCGATGGCGGCCAGGGTGCTGCGATTGCGGCACCGAGCCACAGCCATCAGGCCCCGGCCATTAATCTTGGCCGTGGGCTTCTGGGTGCAGATCCCTTGAATCGGGACGCACTCGGCCCCGATGCCGCCCAGCGACTCGCCCTCGCTATTCAGGCGATCGCTCAGGGCGTGCACGATACCCGAGCTGACTTCGAAGTCTTGAGGGACGGGGTATCTGTCCTCGTTGAAAATCTCGATGAAAGGATCGAGGATCTCCGTAAACGATCTATTACGGAGCTCGATCAGAACTTCGATGAGAATCGTCGCAATTACGAGCTAGCTCAAGAGCGACGAATCGACGATCACGGAACTCCCCATGAGAATTCGAGCAACTGAAGAGCAACCCCAATGATCTTCTCATCGAGTTCGATGAAAGGATCCTTAACATATTTTAACATAATGAGAGTCGTGGCGAATCAGTGTGCGCGAAGGTTCATCTCACGATCGGCGATACTCAGCGATATCCTGACAGCTTGCAACAGCTGTACATCGGCAGGTCCAATTAGGAAGCGCGGTGAAGTGATTCGCACCGAGATGAGCAGATCCCTTCACGATCATAAGAAGAGGACTGATGATCTCGTTGATGATCTCGCTATGCGAGTCTCCCATTTGGAAGCATGTTTCTCGCATCGACGCGACACTACCGAGCGTGCGATTCATGAAATTCGCCGCGAGGTAAGGTCGCATAAAATGTACGTCCGAACGATCAACTCCTCCACGTGTTGGTGGAACTCAGTTTTTCGATATCCGCGATCATGATCGGGAAATCCACGCGCAGGGGGTCTCCCTCTGATTCCAGGCTCGCTATTTCCTGGAGGTGCAACTTCGATAACCCGATCATCTCTCCTTGCCCGGATTGATCACGGATCTCCTCCAGGCTGCAATGCTGCACCTTTGAGAAAGCCTCGACTGCCCAGTCGCAGATGCGTAGCCAGACACTCGATGACGTTTACCGAAGAGCACGCTGGTTCGTCGATGATCGTCCCAAGGGAAAGAGAATCGATCCAGATCGACTTTCTGAGCCGAAATTCCTTCATCCGCAGAGTCCGGGGTCCACCATTTCTCGGGTGGATCTGCTTGTTGAACCGAAAATTACGAGGGCCCATGCTCCCTCGGCAGCATCCGCCGACCAACTGACATTTGGGCCGACTGGATGTACGCCGAGCGCCCATGCCACTTCTCCGGTCTTCGGTTGACATGCCTCCTCCGATTCCTTGCTATATCCTAAGTCCCATGCCTCACACCCGGCAACGGTGTGGGGAGGACGACTCATTGGGCAGCGTCGACACTCCATAGGTAAGGCAACTCAACAAGAACAAGTTTCCAACTCACACACACACACACTGGCACTTGGCCCCATGGAGACACACTGCATAGTGCACAATTGGCTTCCCTTCTTTGGTCGTAAGCAGCATGCAGACGACCTCGACTCCAGTATTGCCCCAGCCGGCGAATTAGCCCATGTGCCCAGCCGTCATCTACCAGCTGCCCTCAGTAGGTTGGCCTCAGACAAGTACCAGGCCATGTGCTACGGCCCATGCCTCACACCCACTCAACGGTGTGGGGAGTACGACTGGGCAGTGTCGACACTCCATAGGTACGGCTACTCAACACGAACAAGCTTTGCAACTCACACACTGGCACTCGGCCCTATGAATTACACTCTGCATAGTGCACAAGTGGCAAGCTTCTCGGTCCAGGACCGGTTGCTGTGAGTGGTAGGTAGTTGTAGCCTGTCGTAGGGACACCGGCGCTCGTTGCCGCCTGTGTCCGGAAACCACACTGCACTTTCAGGCATTTTCTTATTTTGGTTGGCTTGGTGTTTTGGCGACATATTGATTTTCACGGCTGTTGTAGTATTCTTCAGAGGGATTCTTACAGTCATGCATGCAGTGCAGCAAGAGCAACAGATGAGAACATGCTGATGGCCGCTCCGGTCCCAAATTGTCATCCAGATAGGAGCTCCGCGGAAGAAGCCGTCATGCCTAGCACAGGTAGGGGCAGGGCAGGCCAAAACGCAAGAAATATGCAATCCTTCCTTGGTCTGCTGGCCACCGGAAATGCCCAACAAAACGCAATCCTTGGTCCACCGGCCGCCCCAACACGCAAAAAAAAAACGCAACCCGCAACGTGAGGCCGAAACCCAAAAAAACAAGAAAATACACAGTCCACCGGAAGCCCTCAAAATGCAAAAAATGCAAGAATCTTGTTCTTTTTTGCATTGTTTTTGCTTTTGGCGGGCCCCGCCGGATTGTTTTTTTTTTGCGTTTGCGGGGTTGGGGGCGTCCCGGATTGCGTTTCAGGGTTTGGGGGGGTTTGGGGGATTGCGTTTTCTTTGCGTTTGGGGGCTGGGCCCGCCTGAATCTGCCACACACCCTTTTCCGGGCTGGCTGACAGGCGTGTGCTTCAGAGGATTCAAAGCGGTGCCAGCCAGCACCCCCCCCCCCCCCCCCCC